AAGATTATAGGTGGCGCAGTGATTAGAATGCAGTATTGTAGACTATTTTGCTATTTGCCAGCTGCCTGCAATGTGTGTAAAATGAGGACCCAGATTGTTGGGGGCAATATGCTGATTCTGTAAACCGCTTAGAGAGGGCTGTAAAGCACTATGAAGTGGTATATAAGTTTAAGTGCTATTGCTATTGCCATTAGGAAATTTGCCTCTAAAATAAATTGCTTTCTAAGCCACCTATAATCTTTCTGTCAGTGGTTGTCTATGTCAGTTGAATAAATGTTTTAAAAAGACATTTAGAAATCTCAGTTGTATTTTTTAAAAATCCAGGAACTATTTGGTAGATACGCTCAAAATTACATTTAGAAAAATCAATGCTAAATATATGATGAATTGTAGATTAAGCTTTGTTTGCTATGAATGTTAGTATCATGTACAAATATGTCAAAATTTAGTAGTAGATAGCCCGGGAGTGTACTGCAATTTCATAGCAGGTGGATAACATTCATTATATTAAAATTTGTTATGGTTGTTATTTTAGGTATCTTCTAGTCGATTAGATCTTTCTGGCTGTGATGAAGATAAGGTATTGGAATTATTGGCAATATATTTAGTATTTTAAAGTATTTTGAAAATATGATTACAAATCCTTTTTTCTTCATTTTTAATACAAGATTATATAGTATCATTTAAAATCATATATAGCAACAATTAGGAAAATGATTGAAGATTGTTTAGAATAAGTATTTGGTATAAGTAGAAAAAAAATCAGTGAATACTTGTTAAATTCAACAGAATGTTTCCTTTTGATTGATGAGGGAAATTATAAAAATAGCTACAATGCAATTGTACCAATTACAAAGATACCTAGAAGGTTTTTTTATTTCTTACACACCAATAGTTATAGGATGTTTTTGCACAATATGCCACTGTAAAGCATTGGATTGTTGGAACCATGTTTATTCAGTCAGTGCTGAAGGATAAGTCTTTTAGCTTGCAATAGCATTAAAACAGTTAAAACAATATAAATACTTGAATTTTTAATTGTTTCATGGGTGTTAAAATATATAATCAGTCACAGATTAGTCCTTGTTTAATCACCATTTGTTCAATGACTGACCACTCAAAATGATAATGGCACTAAAAATAGTAGTTATGGCTGGTCCTTGAAGTTATGACCGTTGCAACAATCCTGTGGTACTTGGTACCCTACCCATGTTTATGACTACAGTGAACACTTCAACTCCCCCTAGCCCCATGTCTTTTGGCCTTGTGAAGGGACAGTGGTTGCCTTGGCTGGGCACACCTCGTCAGCAATGGAATCTTTGTCGCATAAAATATAATCTAAAATATATTGAAATGTTTGACCTTGATATTAATACTTCCCATGAAGTAGGTGAAATAGGAAGCTTTAATTTTTATTCCATTCAATCAGTGAAAATTGCATATAAAATTGAATAATTGCTAACAATGTTTTATAGAAGTAATATTAGATTTCTTTGTATCATAAGATTTAATAATCACTTGTAATAGACCAGGGGTTTCCAAGGCTGAAAATGTTACAAATCCAGACTGGGATTATCAGTAGGTTTTGTAATTGTAAATACTACCAGAGAGTCATACTAAATAGGCAGCTTTTGTCATTTGGATGGGATAATGATAAATATTAATCACTATTAACTAAGCGGTCCCTAACTATTTTGGCACCAGGACCGGTTTCGTGGAAGACAAGTTTTCCACGGGGCGGTGGCAAAGAGGAATGCATAACTTAGATCCCTCGCATGCACACTTTACAGTAGGTTTCATGGCCCAATTTCTAACATGTATGGACTGGTTCTAGTCTGTGGCCTAGGGGTTGAGAACCCCTATATTAACTGATCCAAAGCCATACAATCATAAAACATGATGTACTGCTCCAAGCCAGCAGTGATGTGAAACTAGAGAGGAAAGAGGAATTTCTGTTGAAAGCAAATGAAAATGTTGCTATTTTACTTGAAAAGTAATGTATTTTTTTCTTCGTTTACATCACAAGGTTTGGCTGGAAGGTCATCTAGATGCCATAGACTGTTCTAGTTATCAAGATATATCATGTTATGGTACTTTACCAAGGGATTCGCCTCATAAAAATAAAGATAACAATGGTAAGGTTTTCTTTTGTTTCATTTACTAGACTATTGATGAAATTATAAACTAGTAAAAGAGAATTAATAGTGTGAAATATAAACCCTGTTGCAGTTGTTTCATGTGCAACTTATACAGGCCAGACAAGTTTTATACTGATGTAATCTAAGCAAATAATATTTTTGCACAGCCACAAATTTAAGACACTCTGAATTCCCAGATTAATCTGTCTTTCTAGAATTCTCTTGGCAACCTAACCCTTTTCAAGAAATAATGTTGCTAAACATAGAAAGTCATTTCTTGTCCGCTGTTTTTTTTTAACAAAGCCATACCATACAGGATTTTAGATTCAAAGTTGAAAAGATCTTTTAAAACACGCAGCTTTTCCCCCTAGCATGAATCTAAAACTCCTAAAATGAGCTGTATCTCTTTGAGATTGTGTAGCTGCCCTCCATGGCTGCAACATAATCACAGGAAAAATATACGTTTGGGGCAAGGAGTTGCAAATAGATATTGCACAATTACTCCAAAGTGCCTTTTGTCTTTGAATTCTAAGTGGTACACAGCCCTATTTCTTACCTTATCTTGATATATCGTTATTCCTTCAGATTGCTCAGGTTCTGTATTTGATTTTTCCATATCCCATCTCTGGCTTAGATCCAGTTTTCTAGATACTATTTTCTGATGTTAAGGGTGTGGTATTAATATGTACAGATCTGAATCTGTAGGACTCCAGAGGATTAATGCTTAAACTATGCCTTTAATTAAGGGCGGTTTTACATTCATATGCTCATCCAGCCAAGCAACTCATCCTCCAGGCATTATGTGTTGATAGTATTATCTTATAAAGTAAATGAGGTAATAAAAAGGATTCATCACTGTTATCCTGGTCTTTTGCTAAAACATTTGAAATGATAAAAGGCAATCTATTGGGGTTCACTTAAATAGATACAGAAGGTGATCATTTAAATTAATAAATACAGAAAAATTCTTTTTATTATCTCATTATACATATGAGTATTTTACTGTTTCATAGTAGGCAATGCATTTTGGTTTTTATATTGTTCTTATTGCCCACAATGTTATTTTAATATAGGAATTTACTTATTTTTAAATTAATAACATGTAATATTTTTGCATTTTCCAATGCATATAAATGCCCCCCAATGATTAGCACATTTTATATAAGGCAGTTTCCATATTCATTTGAATTTGAGAACCTGGGTTACAACTTTTTCATTGTTTAACAAATTATTAGCAAATTATTCTGCGTTCTGCCATTAGTGCATGTTGCATTTGGCGTAATAACGTTACTACAAAGAGAGAAAATTCTCTGTGAATTCTACAGGAGAAAATTCTATAGAAGGGAAGTATAGGAAGAATGTGCATATTTATGCAGTATGATTTCTTAAAAAGCTATTTAAAGAAAAAAAGCTAAAACAGTATTGTCAAAGATAAATGTTATTGTGGTGTGTTTTTAATTACCTATGTAGATAATATCAAGCTCCACATAGGTGACATGATAAAAGAAACAAAACCACAAAAACATATTTAATGAAGATGTGGGGCAAAATACATAAATAAAAAGAATAGTGAGAGAGCATATTTCCATTCAGGACCATACTGAGTTAGTTAAGATGAAATCTTTCTGAAAAGCTTGTTCCTGCAGCTTTGTGGTCTCTTCTCACCTTTAAATATTACTCCTCTTTTGTTCCTTCCCTCAATGCTGCACACCACAAATGTTACTTTAATATGCTCTGGCTACCTAGTAACAGTTTAGTAAACTGAATACAAAATTAGAGGATGTTTTGGTGAGAAAGAATCTTATGGTTCAAAAAGTATTTGCTGTACGGAAATTTCCCAGGTGTTGGATACTATTCATGGAATATTTACCATCTGTTTGCATTAAAAACAAACAAACTTTAAAATGGTGCTTATCAATTTCTGATGCTGCTCATTCTCCTAGAATGATAGGATGAATAATAGGATTAGTGAATCTGAGAAATGTAAATGATCAATATTCCTCTGTTAGTTTTCTGAATAAACAGTGCGTTGACTTTAAGAACAAAACCACTAGAGACATTAATAAACTGATGACCAGATATTTTGTGCAGCTTTATTTGCCTTTCACAACATTTGCTGATTTATTTTTAAATTGATGTTCAGATAATGAATGCTTGTGGTGTTTTTATTTTGCAATCAGAGAATCTACAGACATCAAGTATCAGTTCATTTAAAGCTTTCGCTCCACAACCACCCAAATTTTTCAAACCATTAATGCCAGTGAAAGAAGAGAACAAAAAGGCCTCTCTGGAGACGCAGCCTCTACTTAGCAAAGAGGTAAGTAGTACCTCTTTGTAGTAGGAAGAAATATAGGTATTAGTAACATTATATTAGTAATAATATTAGACCTTATATGCGGATAGTAATTATTTTTACCTAGGAAGAAGCTCACAGCTTACGAAAGCATTTGGAATTGGGTGTTAAACTTGGTCTGTTTATTTAAATGGGGTACTATTTCACTGTCACCTCACTTTGGTAAACATTCTTGCATGTATTATATTTTTGCTTAAACATGTTTGCATGTATAAATGTCTAACCTGAGCTGTCATATCTGTAGCATTGTGTTTGAAGCAATGTTTTTAAAGTCAAAGTTCATTTTGCATGTATTTCTATAATTAATTTAACTGCTACGCCTACATTATTTTAATAAGAGAATAAGATCCTTTTGTGTTGTGCTAACATGCATGGTTGAATGTCAGTATTTTCTTTGTGTGATGTTTTGTGTATCTTAACCTTTGCAGAGCATGCCATCATCTCAGGTATATAATGCTGATTGTGTTGTGTTGTCGTCAGGAAATAATGGCAATAGCATGCCATTAGAACTCAATAACATACAAGAGGCAAAGACTGTAAGTGTTGCATTCGTTTCTGACTTAAAGCTTGGTGGCCATTGTAAATAAGCATTTACGCTCCAGCTATAAAAGGAAAATGCATGTATACAGTATTCTTTATTGCATAGTGGTGCTTATGAAAGTGATAAAATCCATACATTGATATTTTAGACCGATCATTTATTTATAATATTTCACTTTTTAAAAAAAGGATAGGATTTAAAGATTTTTTTTCATTCCCCCCCCAAACAAGGAATGAAATCTGAAAAATTGACTCTGATTCAACTTTTACCAGTCTTCTAGAACTTTTCATTTTTAATTTATAGAGTACTTAATTGAAAGTGATAACTTACCTTAGATGGAGCACAGTTAGTATTAAAAAATATGTAACAGGCAAGTTTGGCGTTCACTTTGCATTCACTTTGTATGTATATGTGCACACATTCATGCATGCATGGACCAACTCAATAAAATATAGAAGGCAAAATCCAGATTTAACACACATAACAGGGCGTTAAAATAGATTTTCCTGCTCTTCTCACAACCAGCCTTTTAATTCCTTGACAATAGTATATAGAAAGTCAAGGGACACTATTGAATAAAGGTTGATGTGGGGCATGGGGCAGAGTGAGAAGTGAAAAGTCCTTCAAGAAGCAGGTTCTTTCTTCCTTCTCTTCACCTTTGCTCTAGAGAACTAGGCATTTTTTTGACAAGTGTTTTTGGAATTTGAGAGGTTTCCTATCCTGTTTTTTTTTTTTTTTGGTCAAAACCAACAGAAAATATATGGCAAATCTGTTTTAAGGCTCATCAACTCTAAACGTACTTCAGAATGCTTAAAAGAACAACTAGAACCGTGATGGCAAACCTATGGCATGCGTGCCACAGGTGGCACGTGGAGCCATTTGCCAGGGCACCTGAGGACTTCCAGGTTGCTCGTAGTGTCGCTTTATGCCATAGTGTCGTTTTCACCATCACTGAACTAGAACATGCTTATTCTCTTCTATATTTAAAAATCTTAGCCCTATCTTTCTAGTTGCATTCCATTATATTAAACAATTATACCAGTGGTCCCCAACCTTCCCAACTCCATGGACTGGTAGTGGTGGGGGTGGTAGGGGGTGGCAGTTTTGGGCATGTGCACACCACTTGCAAATATGGAGCTTCATGTACCCACCCGTTCTGGCCACTTGTTCTGCCCAGTCCATGGACCAGGGTTTGAAGACAATAGTATAACTATATATAACTATAATCTATGACTATAGGTAGTCTTTGACTTACAACAGTTCATTTAGTCACCGTCTGAAGTTACAACAGCACTGAAAAAAGTGACTTATGATCATTTTTTACACTTATAAACGTTGCAGCATCCCCTATGGTTATTTGATTTACATTCAGATGTTTGACAACTGAGTCATATTTATGATGGTTGCAGTGTCCCAAGGTCATGGGATCCCCCTTTGCAACCTTCTGGCAAGTAAAATCAATGGGGAGGCCAGATTCACTTAACAACCATGTTACTAACTTAACGACTGCAGTGGTTCACTTAACAAATGTGGCAAGAATTTATGTAAACTGGAGCAAAACTCACTTAAATTTCTCACTTAGCAACAGACATTTTGGGCTCAATTGCGGTCCTAAGTTGAGGACTACCTGTACTACATTTCCTATTACATTTATAAGCGAATTTCTAGCTGAAGTCATCTAGCCATTCTTACTCAGTGTCTTTTTCTGCATAGTAATTCAGAGTATTACTGCTTAATGTGACAGGAAAAGCTGAATATAAAATGCCCAATAGATATTACAGCAATACATTAAAAATATACTTTTACAAGAAGTATATTTTGTATATAGCCATGTTTTTGCAATTTAAGATTGAGATGCATGAGATTTCCTTTAATATTTTTTTATTTTTAGTGTAAGCATCCAGAATCCTTTGGGAGCTGGGAGCTCTAAATTTCATAAATAAATATGTTGAATATTCCATGTGAACATTTCAGTTCAGTAATATGAATATTGATAAACCCTTTAGTCTTAAACTGTTATAAATATCTGATGTGTGCACCAGCTAACTATTATGAATAGTAACCCTGTGACATACATACAAAGGTAACAATACATTTATGTTAGAATCTAAATATATTATAGAAACGTGTAATGTAACTTAAACTCATATGGAGTAACCAATGTTCTAAATTATCATTCTAAATTTATAGACAGCTAAATATTATAGCCTATACCACAAATTGCGTAGTTCCCTTTTTATTTAAAAGCATTTATCAAATAACATCTTGGTCAAGATTCAGTGCTTTTATCACGTAAAACCACTTTATTCATGCACAAAAAATGTGGGTTTTTATTGTCTTGTTGATACAATGCTGCCAAAAACTAATTTTGCCCTGGCTTTTATTTCTTCTCTGGAAGGATTCTTCAGAGTAGAAGAGGGTTGCCAGGAATTTTCCCCTTGTTCCAGGACATTGATTGGATATATTGTATTGTTGATAACTTAGCTAATGAAGGATAAGACAAGAAGATTCTGAAATGATTAGACCATTTTGGACTAGTTTTAAAAAGTCTGTTGAATGGTGAGCCCATTTTATAGATTATGGATCTAAAACATTGAAATAAATTTTAGTAACAGTATGACTGAAGTTTGGCCAGTATGTTTCAAACCACTTTTAGTACTGATATATTTCCAGAATGGAGTATTGTATTTAGATTACAGAGTTTTGTTTTGACATGCTCAGATAGTTAAAATAGATAGCTATAATGTGTAACTTTGAATATATCAGAAAATAGCAACGTCTGTTATACTAATAAGTGAACAGTATTGTCCAAAAATCACTTGACGGGGAAAAATTGTTGGCCAGAGAATGTTGCTTTAATTTTTTGAAGCTGTCTCAGAAAACAGCACAAGATCTATGAGACTTAAGCCTAAAGACAATCATAATGTCCTTTTTTAAAATACAAGAATCCCCTCCCAGTGATAATAGTCAAGAGGTAAACAAATATAAAATAGGTAAAATGCAGTAAAGAAGAACTTAGCTTTATTATTGATCCTGTTCAAAAGGCCAGATTGAAAGAGAAAATTTGAACTCTTTTCTTAAAAGCTGAAACAGCAGATAAGGGCAACTTCTAGCTTGGGATTGTCTCCTCCGTGGCCACCCAGCAGTAGATACCTGAACTACTGAAGGAAAGTCTCTTTAACAGTAGTGCCTTCATATTGAGACAAATTTGTTTGGAGCGTTAGAGATTATAGTTAACAGCATACATTCTATGTGAATTATCTGTTGATGGCTGCTGCTGATTTAGCAAAAATACACAATGATATTGTAGAAACAAAGAATCACTCTGCAATGGAAATTCTGGAGCTAAATCATAGATTAGCGGGTGTAATTTGCTTTGGTGGCCAAAGGCATAATTTATGTCTTCTGTCATGATAGAAGCTTTTACGTAAATTTTAATTTCCTTGCAATAATGATGGTTGCAAAGCCATATAAAAATTACACATTATTATGAGAGGTAGGAACATTCCTTTTATCTTGATTGCCTGTGGTTGATAATTGCTACCTACTGTTCATATAAGGTTTAGGTTTTTTGGCAACTGATCTTTTGAATAGTGCCATAGTAAGTAATATTTCACTTTAGGCCAGTTTAGATGGTAGCACCTAGCCAAGCTAAGCAAAGCTGGTTCCGGTTAGTATTAGCAATAGCACGTAAACCTATATACTGCCCTGACTGATATACTGCTCCACAGCGCTTTATAGCACTCTCTAGGAGTTTATAAGATCAGCATATTTCTCCTAGCAATCTGGGTCCTCATTTTACTGACCTCAGAAGAGTATCTGAATATCCATTAAATACTATAGTTTTATGAATGCCTGATTCATTGCATTCCTTTTATAATTCAGATTTTTAAAAGTGTGATCTTCTGTACAATTATGTTAGGGCATAAAGTTGTAAAATGGGTATGTTGTAAAAGGTGTAGGCATTTATGTTAGATTTTTTTCCTGGATTTTCCATATTTTATTGTAATTGTCATCCCAATACACTTGTGCTAATGGTTTTTTGTGATAGTTAATCGCATATTTTCATTTAATTCCAGCATTAATTCTGATTGTGTTGTTATCTGAATGTTATAGGTACAGTTAACAGATTATTTGTATTTTTAGAGAATGATATTAACATCTATGTTGTGATAATAGTTTAATCAGAATGAAATAATAGATGTTAAATTAGAACCTGATATTATTCAAACTCTTAGATGCTGGAATCTGAACTTAGTTTTGCACCACATAGCTTCATGTTCATTTTTCTTAAATCATACTGTACACCATGTAATCCATTCTGGCAAACTGTTAAAACAGAATGAATATATTTTTTTTAAAAAAGTATGGGGAGTGAAGGAATATCAAACATCTTGATGGATGCATGCCATTTTCTGAATAAGCTTTATACAGCTTTGTAGATTCCAGCTGTAGAGCTTCTTAGACCTGGCAAATAGCAACTTTCATTAATACAAAAAACACATGTTGAGTATAATATGAATAGCAGATGCTCTTTAAAAGTAAGACTAATAAATTCCACCAAAGTAAAATAAAATGAAATTCATGCCAGGCGATTTTAGTATTTGGAAAAATAGCATTATTTTCCTGTGTTGTTCCATTGTAACAAGGCTAACATGTAATAAAGAAATTATTCTTCATTAAAAGCGAATTTAATGGGAGGTACCCATTACTGTTATTTATAAAAGAGTTTCAGACATATATTAAACCCCTTTTTAAAGTTTACAGCCTGAATATTTAATAGCTTCATTCTGTTTTACATAATAGTCATTTATAATTTTATTAAAATATAAGATTTTTTCCCTTTTGATTCTACATGATGGAAACTGCCATAACCCAAAGCCTCAATTGAATTGAATTTAATGATAATACAATTAACAAAAGTAACCGTTTCTTTAGATCAGTTGTAATACTTGCATGCATAATTTGACATAATTACAATTCAATATAATTATAATGAAAGAAGTAAATAGTTACTATTCATGTTGTTTTATCTGATGTAATAAATTGCTAGTTTTGAAATGATAAGACTACTAGAATTGTTGAAACATTACACTAGGTTCTCACTATATGCTGACTAAACAATTAATCAATGGAACAACTGCCTCCAGAAGTTGTGAATGCTCCCACACTGGACGTTTTTAAGATGATGTTGGATATCCATTTGTCTGAAGTGGTGTAGGGTTTCCTATCTAAGCAGGGGGGTTGGACTAGAAAACCTTCAAGGTCCCTTCCAACTGTTATTCTATTCTATTCTAAACAATATCACAGTAACTTCTTTACTTAGGCATTAATCATATCCCTTGTTCATTGCTGACTTATCTTTCCTTTGTTTAAAATGTAGGAATATTGATATCACATTCTTATTCTTTAGCAGGACTCTGAGGAAGATGATGATTTGGAGATTAATAACAAGAAACCCTATGTGCCCGTGGAATTTGCTGACTTCAGTGTTTACAATGCTAGTCTGGAAAATAAGGAATGGTTATCCAATAAAGGAGATTGTACAAACTCTTGTGTTACTGAGAAAGAAGTATCTCGTAGCCCCACCACAAGCAGTATTACAAGTGGCTATTTTTCTCATAGTGCCTCTAATGCAACTTTATCAGATATTCTTATTCCATGTAGTGAAAGCACGGACCAACTAGCCAATCAGACGAGGGATTTGGATTCAAATGACCATTCTGTAGCACACCTAACCCATGTTTTGAAATCATCAAACCAAGGAGCTTCAGAGGGAGAAAGGGACTTTGCTAAATGTAAAAAAACAGTATCGCCAATCACAGGAACTTGTGCCTTAGCAACAGAAGTTCAAGTGTCTGAAAGCACAAGTGTAAATGCTCCAGGGTTACAGTGTTCCTCTTTGGATTCCTCCACTAACAAACTTGAGATTGAATTTCCATCTCGAGAAGCAACAGTTGAGCACATTTCAAATGTTTTTGAGGATCATGCATTTACAGAATTCATGGGTGTTGATGACGCAAAAGAATTTGAATGTTCCACAAGTATAACTTCTAACAGAAAAAAACAGTTCTTAGTAGCTGGAATGAACTCTGTCATATCTTTCTCAAAAGATGTTCATGACCAAGATAGTGCTTTCAGCTGTCTGGAATCCGGATCGGTGGAATATGAGCTGTCAAGTAGTGTTGAAAATCCTTCGTTGAACGCCAGAGAAAAAGAGTCTTCCAATTGCCAGCAGTGTGCAACTCTCCCAGCAGGTGATTTCGTTAGAAAAAATCATTTAGATGTCCCACATTCTGAAGATACTATTTCTGAAGGACATCCTAACTGGTTGACAGTAGGGGAGCAAGTATATATTGATGATAATAAGACTGGCACAGTAAGATACATTGGCTCTGTGGATTTTTCAACTGGTACTTGGGTTGGCATTGAATTACACATTCAAATGGGTAAGATTTCAATTATTTCTATAAAATATTTAGAATCTTATACCAGCAAATTATTTAGTAATACAGGTAGTCCTTGGCTTACAATAATTCATTTAGTGACCGTTCAAAGTTACAATGGCACTGAAAAAAGTGACATGACCGTTTTTCACACTTACGACTGTTGCAGCATCCCCATGATCACATGATTAAAATTCAGATGCTTGCCAACTGATTCATATTTATGACAGTTGCATTTTCATACGCTTACCTTCTGTCAAGCAATGTCAGTGGAGAAGATAGATTCACTTAATAACTGTGTTACCAACTTGAACCCTGCAGTGATTCACTTAACAACAGTGGGAAGAAAAGACTTTTGGTGATTACATGGGCGTATACATGGAAATCTCTTGGCAATGTTTTCAGAACTGATACTTTCTTCTTAGGATTGAGAGAGAGAGTGATTGACCAAAATCAACTAGCTAGATTTGTGCCCAAGAGAGGTCTGGAAATCAAGATCCCTTATTTGTGGTCAGCACTTCTCATCTGCTAAGGCAAACTGGCTCTCTCATGTTGTCTTAGTAGAGTGGCATTATAAACTTGTTAAGAGACATCTTCAGCAATAAATTCACTATCTACTAAAACAGTTCTTCACAAAACAGTTCTTCCTTTAGCTGGAGAATCTCAGTCCAGAGACGATAATATTTTAAGGAATATTTGCATAGTTCTAGAAATCAATTCCTCTGATGGTTATAAATCTTTCAATCTAATTCTTACCAAAATTGCAGCATAACAAGGTGATAGTGTAACTTTTATTTGCTTTCAGGAAAACATGATGGAACTGTAAAAGGCAGAGAATACTTCCATTGCAAGCCACAACATGGGATATTTGTTCGTCCCGAATGCCTTGCTAAATCACCAGCTCAAGTCAAGTTACGCAGTAGAACTTCACAATCTCAGGTATTGTCCAGTGTGGAAAAGTTGAAGAGTTCAACATTTCAAGGATCATCCTCTCTCAAAGCAGAAGCCTTCTGTCAATCAGGAGATGCAGCAGCTTCTGCTTTTTCTAGAAAACAGGAGATTAGGAAATCTTGGATTAACTGAAGTTGGTTTTGGTTTTGCACTTGCTGCACATATCACTGGGGGTTGGGGGGGGGACAGTTTTTTTCAAAACAGTTGTAGTTTTAAGATGTAATTGAATGTTTGAATCACAGATACAATTCTATGGTTCTTTTTAAAAAAAATAGACTATGTTGACTGTGTATCATTTGTCTACCCGAAAGGCAAACACCGTTGCACACTAGAGTACAATCCTATCATAAGCTGGATATGTACCCCGTTGAGCTCAATTGGATTCCTGAGAATGGATGTATATCAATGCACTGTTTGTAGATAAAACTGTGAGTTTTACTGAATGTTGCTGAACAAATTGGGTTACATTTTATACAGAATATTTTATTGGATGGAAAGGTCACGGGATGTAAATATACATCTGAGGGAAAACATACAATATGTTAATTACCAAAGAATTTGTATTAGATTAATACACATGCTGTTTATATCATGGTTTAATGGTATGGATACGTTTTAACTGACAGCTTGGTGCCATATTTCTAGAGATTAACACCTGGCATCACGCTACCGTATATCTTTTGTTTAATATGAACACTGAAGATACTGTTTTCACTTTGATTTTATGTTTTGTCTTCCTATGGGCCTGCCACTGTGTCAACTTGACATTTATTGGAAATATTTAAAATGCCTAAATATTGTACATATGGCATTTTTGTGTGTGTACATGCCAACCAGGCATTCTAAATGCAGGAACAGTATTACTGCTTTTTAAAAACATGGGCACAAGAAAGAAAATAGCAGTACAGCATCACAAGTACAAAAAAATGCACTGTTTGTTGCTGGCTGTGTGACGAGATTTGGGTAAAATGTTCTGAGGTGATTTCATCTGTAAATATATTTTTATATGAACTTGTATTATGCTTTGAGGGTTTTAGGGAATTATTCCATGTATAGATACTATGTTGGATATATGTAAAGTAGCAAATGGTTCAAGAAAAAGGAAATATGAATGGCCTACTGTAGTTTTGACTTTTTAGAGAGTAATTGAGATAATGGGACCTTATGGACAAGCTGCTGCTACTGCTGTTTGATTTGTATGTATAGTAAGCTAACTCCTAGTATTTTGCAATTATTGTAAAGAATGTAATTTATATTCTATTTCTGCTATACTGTATTTAATTGGTATAGGACAATTGTGTTAGAATACAGAGTGTTACTTCAGATTTTTATAAATGTTTTTGCTTATTTGATTTTATATTCTGTAACAGACCATTTTATTAACTAAACTGTTCAGTAATTCAAATTTTAGCGTATTCTATACTTACGTCTGGATACACTTTTTGAAGATGATAAAGTATTAAAGTCGTAAAGTATGTTCATTGATAATTTCGTCATTCTCCTTTGCAAAACCATCATTCCTCACGTTGACTATGAGGCATATGGTCTTCTGTACCATTAGGCAGCTTCCAATTTATACATGAAAGCTGCTTCATCACACATAATTACCGAATTGAGTCCAAAATTGTGGATTTCTGCTGGTGATGAGAGAAAGAAAGTAATTTTGCCAATTTTTCCTAATGCTTTTGAAGAGGGCAAGGAGGATCCTCATCAGCACAAAGGAGTATGGGAGGAACTGGTGATAATCATTTGGGATTGTGGGCCCCTTTAGAAGTGATTCTACAGGGGTGCTTCACAGCACAAACAAAAGCACTTGTCTGCAACTTCCACATTTTTCCCAGGATTACATGCAGCAATGGAAGATAAGCACATACTTTCAGAAAAAGATGCAGCTGTATTAAAGGGCACAGACAGCTGCTCTTCCCACATCGAAGCACTTCACATATCTAATAAATAGTTTATGAAAAAGATCATGACTAAGCATGAGGTACAAAGCACGATAGTACATTTCTTTGCTGAAAAACTAGGATAGCTTTGAAGATTAAACTTTTATTAGCCAGTTGCTTGACTAGCAAACAGAACCATTTTACGACTTTTAAAAACAGCTTGTCTTTTTTTCCCATTCTTATTTATCTACCTTTCTCCTTGCCTCACCCAGTTATGTACCTTCTCCATTTTCACTGCAGCTACTCCCACTCCTGAATGCATTAAAAGAGGGAGGGAAATGTGTGTGTGTGTGTGTGTGTGTGTGTGTGTGTGTTTGAGGGAATGGTTTGTATATGCAGGTAGAAGTTCACTTAATTTTATAAAGGGGATATATTATTGTACAGGCAATTTTAATCAGTAGTTATGAGTTCTGTTTTGTGTGGATGTGGCTTCTAATGCTATACAGCTAATACACTTTAGACTTATATATTGCTTCACAGTGTTTTT